GATAATTTTTTTCCTCCCCTTTACAGGTATCTTCAATGCATCGTTTTCTAAAAACATAATACCCACTGCTTGGAAGATCGAATTTATACCTGTGCCTAAGTCATCTTCTGGATGAGGTGTTACTTTTCGACCCATCGCTACAACTTCCCTTTTTCTGAAGACAATGGAGAAATTACTTCTCCTTGTGATTGAGCCTTCACTGATGGGATTCAGAGATACAAATCAGTTTGCTTTCAAACACCAGAGGAGTACTTTAGATGCAGCCACAGTCTTGCATCATCATAATATTGTTTCTAGTCTCGACAAAGGTGTTAAGTATGTTCGTCGTACCTTTTTGGACTACTTATCAGCCTTTGACTCTGTTCCTAGACCACTCTTGTTGAACGAGCTTGTCATAGTTCATACTGAGCCATGGGTCACAAAGTGGTTGTCTTCTTATTTTTATGAAGGGAAACAGTATACTGTCTATAAAGGGAAGCATTCCACTTCGTTTATTGAAGCTGGCGTGACCCGAGGTGCTGTACTTTCTCCTTTTATGTTTTCTTTCTTTTTGCATGATCCACCGTATTCTGTTGAAACTAATTCTATAAAGTATGTTGATGACCTGACAGTGTCTATTCCAGTCAATTCTCACTTATATGGCTCTGAAATAAGTGGATTCCTGTCCCTCTTATTGACCAATGATCTCTCACAAATAGTGTCAAGTTAAACCATTCTAAATGTCAGACTGTTAATATTTAGCCTCAGGTGTAAACAAGACGGACTTGTGTGAGCTGTTTAAGTCCCATGACACCTATAGCAGCAGTACTGATGGTATTTCTGCAGAAAGTAAATCGACTGTTAACTATCTTAGAGTGAGTTTTACTTGTGATCTTTGTTGGTCGTCTCATATCTTGTTGACTTGTAAAAATAATCTTTCGTTTAACTTATTACATAAATAAACTGAGCCTCTCTGGTATAACTCAACCTCTTCTTTTACAATTTATTAATTCCTGGATTTGACCTATTCTTCCCTATTGTTCCTTGTTGATCTTTCCTAGTCTACTACTAAAAAAGGACTATACTGTATTGCGTAGGTCTTTGAAAGCCATCAGCGAGTAGGGTGAGTGGTGCACCTCTGGTTCAACTGATTAACACTTTGGTTGATAGGCATTTAAATCCCAGGAAGCAACTAGCTACAGAAATTCTAACTGACACTGAGTATCCACTTCACTCACAGCTTTCCTCATGTATCTCCTCAGGGAGGATAAGAAGAAACTACATAAGACTGTACGCTAGTACAGCTAAGTATAAGAATTCGACTGTACCTAGCCTAATATGCATATCGTTTGAGGAAAAAAGTGTTAGAACAGAAATCACACATTGAATTTGTAACAGTGTAACAACGTAAGACTTTCTTATTTTTAATATTCTTTACATTATGATAAACTGGTTGGTTGTGGCTAGCAGAAAAAACCAGGAAGCTCATTTTGTCCTATTTGGGACTCGTCAGCTGGATGTACCTGCACCCCAATGATGTTGTTCCCACTGGAACTCGAACCTCGTACCCATAGATTCAAACTCGACTATGCCACGGAGGAACGATAGCCACTTCTTGTACAACGGATAGTAGTTATTATTATTTATTGACATGTTATGCTCCATTGTTCTGCTGGATCGAATTGGTCGACCTCTATTAGCATATGAGCTCCTATGCGCATGTCTCGATATTGTCTGAATGTTAATTATGGTAAATTGGTTGTTTGTGGCTAGCAGGGGAATCCAATGGGAACAAGATCACTGGGGTGCAGGTACATCCAGCTGACGAGTCCCAAATAGGACGAAACACGCGTCCTGGATTCTTCTGCTAGCCACAAACAACCAATTTACCATAATTAACATTCAGGCAATATCGAGGCATCCGCATAGGAGCCCATATGCCAAAAGAGGTCGAACAATTCGATCCAACATAACAACGGAGAATAACATGTATGTCAATAAACAGTAATTCTTTACATTACTTAAATGTTTATAATACAATCCGAAATGTTGTAAAGGATCACACATACATACACATCTATTTTGTTGTTGTTGTAATATATCATGCCGAGAATTCCAAATTGTCTTGGTTGTATTGTGTTCTCTGAGCTGGGTTGTTTAATCGTGAAGCTTTCGTCACCTTTCTAGATGATATCATCATCACTAACTTCAGTATGAAGAGATTGTCAGTATCTCTCCGCGAGTGATTTAGTAGCTTGTCTTGACAAAGTGATCTGTGATTGGTTGTTTCCTTTGATTGTTGTGTCATTGATTGTATTGACTTTCCTGTTGGCTGTTCCTCTGCTTCACCTCTGACCTTTCTGTCGTTTATCATTTTTCTTATTGGTTGATAGATCGGGTCTATGTCTATACATCTATTGATTGCTGACTGACCTGAGTGCCAAGCTTCTAGGAATTCTCTGATGATATTCTTTGTTTCCTCTCTCCATCCAAAATTTCTACATTGTCGAAATTGAATTCATGTCCATAATTATCTACATGCATTGAAATAAGTGATGAAATGTTGTGACATTTAGTAGCCAATTGGTGTTTATGTAGACGAAGACCGCTTCGTCAAAGCAAGCTACTAAATCACTCACGGAGAGATACTTACAGCTCACTTCATGCCGAAGTTAGTGCTGATGATGTCGTCTAGAAAGATGATGAAAGCTTCACGATTAAAAAACCCATCTCAGATAACGCAATACAACCAAGACCATCCACTTGAGCTACAAATATTCCCCACTAATTCCAAACTGTACCACAAATTATTGCCATTTATTGACATACTTGTTATTCTCCGTTTTTATGTTGGATCGAATTGTTCTCCCTCTATTGGCATATGGGCTCCTATGCGGATGCCTCGATATTGCCTGAATGTTAATTATGATAATTTGGTTGGTTGTGATTAACAACGCGCATCCTGAATTCTCCTGCTAGCCACAACCGACCAAATGTGCCACAAACTGTTTGGAATAAAGTGATTATTATTATTATTATTATTGTTATTATTATTATTATTATTATTATTAGTGATAAGGGATGTGAAACTGAAAAGAGGTCAAGTAGGAAGGCTGAATTAAAAGTCCAAATTAAGAGTGGAAATCAGCGCAGCGAAAATAATAGTACATTGAACTTGGTTTTCATAGTTGAATTCACCAAGGAAGATTTAATTTGATAACAAAATGCTTTCTGAACACACAAAGATGGTTTAAACTTCTTAATAGTTATGACAGCCTAGATACATTTAAGGATCCTTCACAAACACATTTTGTAAATAGGTCTAAAGGAAGTGGCCACATCAATCCTGTGACCTGTTACAACGATATGAGTTTAGAAAACTTAATTCGCATTTGAAGCCACTCTGGAATATATCCTGAGGCCCTTACTTGCATGGATCTATGGATCCTCCCCGTGTATATGTCATAACATGTACGTTTGAATTGGTAGATGCAATGGGATGTGAAATTGTCGTTCACATCCTGCAAGGGTTTGGGAGAATATACAGGCTTGGTGGTTGCTATGAATCGAAGCCTAGCTGCATAGTTAGTCCTTCTAACAGCAGCGTCAACTCTCTGTTTAAGCATTGCGCTATGAGAGTCACCTTGATATAGAAGACTAGGATAAAGTGAAGAGCTGTTTATGGCACTCTAGATATTTTGTTCTACCTTATAAATTTTGATGGATAGTTATTTTCTAACAGCATTTTAGTTAATGCTCCTCTTTCGTCTTCTAGAGTGTTATATGTGCATATTCGCTGACTTATACTGAATAAGCATCTAACTAACTTTCGCTTGTACTGAACTGGACAAAATCTATACTAATTCAAATATTGCTCTGTCCATGTGAGTTTTCTGTAAATGGATCGTTTTATGAATCCACCATGTCACCGACCAATTAATATGTTCAAGAAAGGCAAACAGTCATCTTTCACTTCTACATATGTCAAGAATATGCTGTCCTGTGCTTCGTTCAATTGGTTTAGAATTGAAGTAAACTGACTCGAATTATCACAAATAATTAGGACATCATTAACATATCTTCGATATAGATGAGCTTAATCAATTAGGTTCTCAGCTAAGTTTTCCATATGTAACACGTATATGTTAGCTAAGCGAGGGGGTGGCCAGAAGGACTTGCCATGGCAACGCCGATTAACCTCGAGGAAAGTGTTCACCCTTGAATGTGAACTCAATATCGCTTGAAATGATTCAAAGAAATTGATCAAAGGGACATTGATGAATAATGAGTTAACGTCAAATGAACACTCTTCAAATGTATCTTTTAAACTATAATTAAAATATGTCCATGACGTCTGAGTAATTGTGAATTTTACTGGTGTGAGCTTGTCAGTCATATTAACTGCATAAGTTACCATACGAATCGTGTTGGTAATACTTTTAAAAGTGTTTGAGAGACCCTTAGTCTGTGAGTGACATCAACCTGGACTATATATGTTACCGGTTTTAATTTTCAGGGTTTAAAAAAAAATAAAACTCAAGAACTAATGCCATGGTGTACTATTCGATAAACTACACCTTTTTTAAACCAATAAGGATTCTAACGATCCATCAATATCCTAGTAAGTAGCATATAATTGGAAACCATCAGGCAGTCAATCATCAACACACTAGAGTGTCTCTACTTTCAATATACACTAATGCGGATATTTCAAGTTGTTATTCATCGTAGACTGACATCAGTTGGAGGAACAAAGGAAACCTGGGAGCACTGAACAACTGTTTCAACCGACTAGTGTGGGACTCCTCAGCAGTGCGCACCCAAAACTCCGCCACGGATTGAACCCGCGACCTTCAAGTTCCGCAGCCAACACATTACCATTGAACCACTGGGTCAGAATTCAATCGTCCATATTTCCAACTTTTGTTAGCTCACGATATAGTGCAACCGCAACTAATGCGGATAACTAATAACTAGAATTTTTATCGATTTAAAAAGTAGAAAAGATCTTTCATGCATACCTGAATTTTCTTCGCTAAATTCCGTTTGAATTTATTTGATAAATCAACTTCATCGGTGTCATCAAGGTTATCACTCGAGGATAAACTGGATGAAGAAGATGATGATGATGATGATAAGGCGATAGGAGGAGAAAGAGGTGTAAAGTGTGTGTCATCATCTTCTTTTCCTTTCTCTGTTGCCTTTGTTTTCTTTAATATTTCTGTTTCATTATCTCCTGAACTATCCTGGTAGCTGTATGTATGGATTCCCATGGTTTCGTTATCTTCAATTTTTTGTCTAATATCTGATATACTTAGACGTAAATTACACGATTTCCTGCCATTATTAATTCCAATAACACTTCCATTTTTCATCTGAGATCTTTTTCGAAGTGTATCGTTGTCAATGCTAGATGACTGTTTTTTAGATGGGTAACGATTTGCATGAAATTCAATGTTCAAGAACTCATCCTTATCATGATCATCACTATCAGTGGCATTCATACGATATCGACTTGGAAAGAGATCAGATTTTACATCCATATCTTCTTCAGCTTCATTCTCCTTCAATGTATACTCTTGGAGTAGACGGGAACCCGCACTTTGAATATAACGTTTAGGTTTACGTAATAACAAGGGTGTAGCAATCTTACGCCCACCTTGAATTAAAAATCTCTGTAATTCTAATTCCCATGGTGAATTCAATCGTATATTAATCAACTTATGATGACCATATGGATTCGATTTACTAGATGATATTCTTGATAAGTGTAGATCATAATGTTCAATGTTCAATTTTCGCAAATTGGCGACTTCTTCAAGACTAACACGCTTTCCATGTTGATTGTAAATAAACATTGTATAATGCTTGTATTTTAGAATGAAAAAAAAAGAGAAATAAAACTTAAACGGAATCACTAAGTTTCTTTTAATTTCTGAGCTTAAATATATTTATTGAATAAAATTATGATGGTATCGTATGTCAATGACCTTAACTGTTTGAATCAATAAAGCGAAGTGATTAGTTAACAGAAATGTACAAATTAGTATGAACTCCCGAAGATTCTCCACTACAGTGCACATAATTATGAACCAATTAAATTTGAAGAATTAGACAAGACTGAACTAGCATACCGAATAAATGGTCTAATATGAATTAGTGTAGAATCTCCAGTTGAAAACTTCGAAGCTGAGTTAATAAGCTCTTATTGTAGAAATATCCTCATATCGTTTACTTTTACATCCTTATATAGTGTGTCAGAACATACCTCTTACTCACAGCTTGTACCTGTATTCTGCTGCTGTTGATCTGAAAGTGACTGAAAGCAGTCATCCATTATTTTAAACATCATCAAAGTACTCTCTGTTTTATTAAGTAGCGACAGTCAATCCCTGTCATAAGAAATAGACAAACAGCCTTAAATTCATGAGTAAGCTGCCAACCAACCTTCCTATTCTGCACAATTGCCAGTGTGGTTAAAACTTATCTGAGTAATATCCTTTGCATTTGATTCTTAAGAGTGACATTAGCCGGAGAGCCGTTGAAAACCAAGGAGTGTTCAGCAGATACTTTCTTCTAGTCTGTAACTTTTCATTACTGCACGTCCACTAATTAGTGAGAAATCGAACTCAGGAGGATTAGGTCTTCAAGCAGGTACGTTGCTATTCAGCCATTGGGTCGATACCCCGCAGTCTTTAATGTACAACTTTCGGCAACTCATGATGTTAACAGCACCATAACCATCGAATGTCATCCACTGTGTCGCTTCTCATGTCTGAGTTCCCTGAGTCTATACCTTACGGCTTCCATTTCAACTTGAGGCTAGACGTGGACATGGAATTGCTATCTGACAGTTTAGTTTGAGGATCGACATCGTCTGTTCTGTTGTGGGTTGATATTGAATCAGCTCATGCAGTCAATTGGTCATTAGTTTTCGCCTTTCGGTTTCCGTTTCCTCGAATTTCGAAGGTAGTCGCCTATACGATCAGAGTGAGTCTTGCAGTGCACAAGACGTCAGATAAAGTGTTGAGATTGCCAAGTCATTATGGCATTATGGTATAGATAATTCGTGGGAATTGACATTCCTCTTGCTGGTTTAACGCATCCAATTTATAGATTGTTTCCGAAAATATCTACTCCTACTCATTCAGTTTCATTGTGATGCACATCAACTTGATAAGATGCAGGTCAGTCAAACTGACCAGCACCAAAGAAGGCAAAACATAAGTTTACGAAGATAATAACATCAAATACGGATAACAGCGTCTTATTCGTTATCTGATTGTATTTGTCAATTGTTAGTCAAATCTGTCAAAAAACTTTCAACAGTTGGTGTAACTGAAGGCAGTAGTTTCCCTCGAATTATTGCACAGATAAAAACTTATTGTATGTAATGCACAGATAATTGCCAAACATTTATATGACAATTTAACGTATGTTAATTTCTAAGTATGAAGTTTTGCTTTTCAAGTTGACACCTGATGAGACTTTAACGAAAATAAATGTTCACCCAAATTATCCACTTTTCAAATCATGAGTTTCTTTTCCATTTTAGTCTGTTTATTAGAAATATCACACAGTGAAACAGTAGCATTTACTGGATAACGTTTCGGACACAATTTATTGTCCATATTCATATCAGGTCTCTACCACAGTGCCCAAGTTTTACACTTATATTAATGAGTTTATTTTCTTCTATAATATTAAACTTGACGGCATAGTTTGTCTTTGAAATAACTGAAATAAGCCTTTGTCATTCTTTATAAAAAAAGTCTTAGCTGTGCAAACTAATCAGTATTCCGTCCCGAAAAAGGACATTTATATCGCACTACCATATAACAAGGAATCAGTCGGCAAGATCTCAAGACGAAGGCCTAATCTGATGATTAACAAGGCATACTAAACAGCTAAGCCCAGTATCATATTATCATTATTATTTGTCCCTTGGGTTCCTAGTGGAACATAGGACTTCAGTAGCACAGCGCCATTTCACTGTCTTCTTTACAGTCTTTTCATCCTGGCTCCACCACCGCTCACAACCTTTCATTTCTTCCTCACACAATCTCCTCCATGTCACCCTCGCCTCGGACCCCAACCTCATCGTTCACCCTTTGGATTCCAATCAAGGGCGTGGCCTGTCGCGTGATGTCTCCACATGGTCTTTTCAGTGCATATCCAATCCATCTCCACTTTCTTCTGCATATTTGTTGGGCGACAGGTTCCCTGTTGGTTCGTTGACAGCCAGAGTGAGTTCTTTGTGACTTAGTAGTAGTAGTAGTAGTAGTAGTAGTGTGAGTAGTAGTAGTAGTAGTAGTGTGAGTAGTAGTAGTAGTAGTAGTAGTGTGAGTAGTAGTAGTAGTAGTAGTAGTAGTGTGAGTAGTAGTAGTAGTAGTAGTAGTAGTGGTAGTAGTAGTAGTAGTGTGAGTAGTAGTAGTAGTAGTAGTAGTAGTAGTAGTGTGAGTAGTAGTAGTAGTAGTAGTAGTAGTAGTAGTAGTAGTAGTAGTAGTAGCAGTAGTAGTAGTAGTAGTAGTGGTAGTAGTAGTAGTAGTGTGAGTAGTAGTAGTAGTAGTAGTGGTAGTGTGAGTAGTAGTAGTAGTAGTAGTGTGAGTAGTAGTAGTAGTAGTGTGAGTAGTAGTAGTAGTAGTGTGAGTAGTAGTAGTAGTAGTAGTAGTAGTGTGAGTAGTAGTAGTAGTAGTAGTAGTAGTAGTAGTAGTAGTGGTAGTAGTAGTAGTAGTAGTAGTGGTAGTAGTAGTAGTAGTAGTGTGAGTAGTAGTAGTAGTAGTAGTAGTAGTAGTAGTAGTAGTAGTGTGAATAGTAGTAGTAGTAGTGTGAGTAGTAGTAGTAGTAGCAGTAGTAGTAGTAGTAGTGTGAATAGTAGTAGTAGTAGTGTGAGTAGTAGTAGTAGTAGTAGTAGTAGTAGTAGTAGTAGTAGTAGTAGTAGTAGTAGTAGTAGTAGTAGTAGTAGTAGTAGTAGTAGTAGTAGTAGTAGTGGTAGTAGTAGTAGTAGTAGTAGTAGTAGTAGAAGGAGGATGAGGAGGAAGAAGAAGAAGAAGAAGAAGAAGAAGTAGGAGTAATGCAGGTGAGAATAATGATACTTTTACAAATAATAATGATAATGATGAAAGGGTTGAGAGAGAATTCAAAGCCTCTGTTGTGTTACCATACATGGAAGGCACCTGAAAAGCATAATGAAGATTTCTCAATGAGGCTGGTTGGGATTAGAGTGGCACTTAAACCAACAAACTTGCTTAGAAACAAGCTTTGTAGGTTAGAAGATCCTGTCGATGCATTTAGGCAAAATAATCTGGTTTATCAAATCCCTTGCAATGATTGCGAAATAAAATACATCGGTCAGGGTAGTCGACCAGGGTGGATTAGAATGACAGCACAAAAGCTTAGCTAAATCAACATAAATAGATCAGAATTAGATAAGGAATTTTGAGAAAAAACTGGACCATAGCTCTGTCGCAATCCGATACATTCACACAGTAGGTTAGGATGGAGTGACGGCGTTAAAAACTAAATTGTGTGGGTGGGTGGAGGGAGGGAGGGAGGGAGAGATTGATAACCGATTGTTTGTTTATCGTGCAATGGAAACGATTCTACACCTGTCCCAGATTTATAGAGGATTCTACCATCCTTGTGATCAGAAAGAAGGAGGGAGGGGGGGGGACTGAGGACTGTGAGTTTGTGAGGTTAGTTACATGATATGAATATGGACAATAAGTTATGTTTGAAACGCTATCTAGTAAGTGATATTATATCACGATGTGACATTTCTAATAAACAGACATAACTGAATTACAATCTACCCCAATGCCCAAGTTTTACTCCTTTATCCTTTTCTTTGTTATTTTCCTGACCACAATCTACAATGAATTATTGTCCCGTAAAGCATTTTGATATTTTTCACCCTTAAATATGAAAACTGACCATATTATAGTGTTGATTTTGTGAATTTCACACCATTAAGTAGCCTTAATGCACTTCTGATCTCTCCTTACCGATACTACAACATTTATCACCCCTAATTATAAAAATAGCGGGACTTTAAAGTTGATTCTTGGCCATTTTTTATTCTTTCTATACTTGGACACTCAAATTTTCAATTGAACACACTATGAATAGACATTGATTGGTCATTGGGAGGCCACCAATCTCATGTTGTCAAGTCCTGAGTGCTGGCCGAATTCTATCGATCAATTAGCAATGTAGACCCACGAAGCTAGGAGGCTCGCCAACCAGGTATAATTCGATGGATGTTAGTTTGTTGGGAGCAATCGTCAAGATGCCCTACTCAACCTACCTTTCGTACTTGTTGGTGCTCGTCAGCAAAGCGTATTTCCAATCGCGATGTAATTGGTGTTTTCTGTGAGATTCATATCCCTGTCACCGAGTGTTGCTATCAGCCACGTTACCACCAGAGTGAATGAATATAACAATTAACAGACAGAAAAAAATACAGAATCCGGTTGATTGTGGCCAGGAGAGGAATCCAGCTTAACGTATGTCTCGTCCTGTTCGGGACTTACTGGTCAGCTGGATGTACCTGCACCTCAGTGAGTGATGTTATTCCTACTGACACTTGAACCTCGTACCCATCGTTTCAACCACCAAAGCGCTATCAACAATGCCACGGAGAACTGATAGCCACTTCTTGTACAACGAGTAGTAGTTATTAATATTTATTGATATACTTGTAATTCCTCGTTGTTTTATTGGATCGAATTGTTGGACATCTATTATCATACTTTGGTCCAACAAGAACAAATGGAAAGAAAGGTTAGTAACAGAATCCATATGTATACAGGTCACCTTTAACACATGCAACAAAGGCGACCCAACTCAACTGTCAACC